TTCCACGTTAATTATACCATACGCTGCTACCACAGTTTGCCCTTTGGTATCCACAGACTTGGAAAACAGATACGCTGAGATTGTAGAGCTGGCTGCGCTGGAAGCAGTGAGCTGGGAGAGGGAAAGCAGGAGCCCTTCCAAGCCAAGGGGCTGCTCTGGGCTCAGGCAGACCAAGGGGATGAAGGCATTGAGGCAGCTTGGAGGCCCTAGACTGTGAGCCCAGAGGCTGAGGGAGGAGGTCTGGGAGCATGTGGGGTTGGGAATGTGGGCAGAGAGCCTTTCAGTCTGATTCTATTGCAAAGCGCAAGAGCTGTAGCTGGTCAGAAGGCTCCCTTCTGGTACCTGGGCTCTGTGGCAGGCATCTCATCAGGGGCCATGTAGTGAGGAGAGGGCTCTGGAGACCTTGCCAGTGGCTGGGGCTTCATCTCTAGGGCCACTGAAAAAAACTGTGGTCAAACGTATAACACAAAATTTGCCATCTTTTCATTCATAGTCTTGTCCAACCTTCACTACTATTTCCCACAAAGAGGATCACCCCCAAGAGAAACTCTGTACCCATTAAGTAGTAACTCTTCCTTTCTCTCTTCCTCCCGGCTCCTGGTAACCTCTGATCTACTTTGTGCTTATGAATTTGCCTGTCTAGACACTCCATATTTCTGGAATCTTATAATGTTAGTCTCTTCTGGTGTTCTCTGCTGCCCCCAGGCCTTGTAGCACATTGTTCCTCGGCCTGCCCTGGTGCTGGGCCTTTCGGACTCCTGGATCCTTCTCTCTGTTCATCCCTGCAGTACTCTCCGTGGGCTGCCTTATTCCTTTCAATTAGCCTGGTCTTCCCCTGTCCAGAACATTTGGTATGAAGCCCTCTTCTACCCAGCCTGACTGCTCTGTGTGTGTGTGTGTGTGTGTGTGTGTGTGCACGCGCGTATTTAGGGGTTATCTATGTGAGGGCCTTTTCTCCCCCACATTGCCCTGATGAGTCAGAGCTGGGCACTGTAACAGAACTCAGAGCTTGGTTTCGTCTTGGCAAATCTTCACTCACCAGGCACTGAGAGGCAGTAGAGGACGGGGTCATAAAAGGAAGCTCTGGGCCAGACTGCCTGGGTTCCAGTCAGTCTTCACTTACTAGCTGGGTGGCTTTGACTATTTTTCTTAACCTGTTAGCCTCAGTTTCCTTGTCTATAACATGGGGATAATAGGCTTGGCGCTTGTAGCACAGTGGTTATAGTGCCGGCCACATGCACCAAGGCTGGTGGGTTCGAACCCGGCCTGGGCCGGCTAAACAACAATGACAACTGCAAAAAAACCCAAACAAACAAACAAACAAAAATACATGGGGATAATAATAGTACGTACCTCACTTGTGAAGAATAAATGAGTTCAAGGATATAAACATGACAGAGCTTGCCTGTGCTGGCACATGGCACAGAGAGTGGTGCTCACCGTTATTGTAGCCTGCGTCACAAAGTTTTTGTGAAAATGAAATAATTTGTATGAACTGTTTAAAAAGTGACTGGCATGGAATAAGCATTTAGTAAACAGCAGCTACCCTGATGCATGTAGGTATGTATGTGCGAGCACAGCAAAACCAGCTCAGCACCACGAGACTGGGTCCAAGAATATCTCCAACTTCAAGTTGCCACTGGGCCCTATCAGGACAGATACGAACTGACCTGCCAGCATTTCCTGCTCTTTTCTTCAGAGCAACAGACAAGTGGGAATTCTCAGCAGATAGATGCCAAGGGCACCCCTCCTTAGGATCAGCTGAGGTGAAAATTGGAACTGCTCGCCTTGGGACAGGTCTCAAACTGACAGCACAGTCTTCACATTTTTACCCTTTTTCTCTTTTTAAATCTGGAAGCAAATCATACAAACTTGCATTCTTTCTGATCTCAAGCTAAAGATTCTCATATTCTTCTCAATTTAGGAGACTGAGAGGGCTTAACTGTTTACGTGGGTACAGTGGGATTGAAACGATAGAGTTTCAATCAAGAGGTTCATTTTTTTTCAAACCCACAGAAGAAAAGTTATCCTCTATGAAAACCAAGCTTTCCGAAACTTGTCTCTATGTTCTGACCTTATTTTTTGAGGGGGGAATGTTTTTAAACAATTTTCAGATTGAGTGTACACATGATTAGGTTATATTGCATTTTTTTCTCATTTATTTGTTTTTAAAATGTAATAAGAATACTGAGCTCCTCTTAATCATTTTTTAAGGGCAAAAGACAGTATTGTTAGGTACAGACAAAATCTTGTGCAGCAGACCCCAGAGCTTATTAATCTTGAAAACAGAAACTTTGTAATTATGGAACAGCAACTGATTTTTCCCTCTTTCCTTTGCCCGTAGCCACTATTCTACTCCGTTTCTATAAGTTTGACTATTTTAGATACCTCATATAACTGGAATCCTACGATACAGTGAGCCCTTAAACAGCACAGGTTTAAACTGTGTAAATTCACTTAAAGACAGTTTTCTTCAGCCAGTTCCACCCCTCAGACAGCAAGACCAATGTTTCCTCTTCCTCCTCCACAGCCAACATGAAGACAATGAACACTTCCACTCAATGAATAGTGAATTTATGATCTCTTCCATATGATTTTCTCAATAAAATGTTCCTTTCTTTAGCTTAATTTACTATAGCACATATCATAAAATATGTAACATTCAAAGTATGCATAAATCTACTGTTGGTGCTATCAGTAAGGCTTCCACTCAGTAGGAAGCTATTATTCTTTAAATTTTAAGGGAGTCAGAAGTTCTACATGGATTTTCAACTGGGTGGAGATCAGCGCCTGTAACTAACCTTTGCACTGCTGAGGGTCAGTGGTGGTTGTGTTTTTGTGACTGGCTTATCTCACTTAGAATAATGTCTTTAAGGTCCATCCATGTTGTAGCCTATCTCAGAATGTCTTTCCTTTCTAAGAATGAATAACATTCTTTGGTATGCACATACCATATTTGCCCATTCATCTGTTAATGGACATTTGGATTGCTTCACTGTGTGAATAATGCTGCTATGAATGTGGATGTACAAATACTGTTATCTTTTCAAGTCCCTGTCTTCAATTCTTTGGGTTATATACCTAGCAATAAATTTCTGGATAATATATGGTAAGTCTATATATTTTTTCAAGGATCCTCTGTACTATTTTCCATAGCAGCTATACCATTTTACATTCTCACTACCAGTGTGCAAGGGTTCCAGTTTCTTTGCACCCTTGGTAAAGTGCAAGTTGTACTTGAGCCCTTCACCCAGGAGGTGTGCCATATACCTCTGCATTATGACCATTAGGTAGAGCACACCACTCCTCTCTCTTACACTGCCTCCTTTTTCCTCCCCTTCCCTCCCTAGTAGTTGTTCATCTACTAGTTTCACATTCATATTTAGTATATTGGGTGCTTGCTTTTCCATTCTTTATTTTTTTTACAAGTCTGTTTATTGAAAGGATCTGAAAATAGTCATAAGGCTTTCAACATTTAACACATTTTCAAGATATTAACAATATGAAACATTAAGATTCACTTCAAAAATCCAGAATTTTCTAGATCGTTCCAGTCCCATGCTGCTTTAGGACAAAATTTAACATTTGCTTTTTTTAGATAAGGGACTGGAATTCCAAATACCACTGTCTTTGGGCCCAAAGCTGAGGTACTGGGGCCCCTTCCCCTCAGCCTATGGGTGGCAGGTGGAGGTTCTGCTGGCACTCAGAATCATGGGCAGCCCCTCTGCCACTTAGCGTTGCCCAGAATCATACTCAGTGTCTTAAGACGCTCAACTTCAATGATGCCGAGGGCCTGAGCTGCACCTCATAAAAGAGTCCTCATTCTCCTGTTCTCACCACTGAATAGTGAGAAAGGTGACTTCTTGGGCAAACCTCTAAGAGCAGCTACTCAAAAACAGCCTCCTGCATTTGGGACTCCTGCTGGACAGCACCCAGGGTGCTGCTCCCATGTGGTACCATGCTGTGGTACCCCAGGCATCACACCATGCTCTCAAGAGACTCCTGGTTCTCTGCAGAGGGCTCACAGGAGTACTCTCTGTTTTGTCTCAAAATTCTCATTGCAATTGTCCGGCTCAAACACGGCTCTCTCCTGGACCATCAGGGCTGCTCAAGGCTGGACAGCACCACACAGGACACAGTGTAAACATCAGCAGGGTCTTCGTATAAGTGTGTACAAGAAAATATGTATGTAAGCACTTCATAAGGTTTATAAGAATCTCTAAAAAGTATATGTAGGATTTAAAACATCTTCCTGGGAGCTGAAGCTGCGTGAGGAATGTGTGTGTCAGCCCAGGATGCTTGACAGCCCTCTGGGGATGCTGGGCCACACAGCAGCTCTGGGAGGGGACCAGAGGCCTCCAGCTCAGCACTGGGGGGTCTGGCCAGACTTGGTGCTGACATGAGCAGGGAAGAAACCTCTCCAGAAATCAGGGCACAGCCAGCCTGCTTCACAGTCGGCATCCAGACCCCTCTGGGCTGTAGCTTGCCTATGCTCCTCCCTAGAAGAGCTTCAGAAAGTACAGGCCCAAGGGCAGAAGCATCGCAGCTCAAGAATATTCTTGGCGGAGACATTTATTTTCAACATCAAAGGACAGATCAAGTCTTTCTGACCTTCTGATTCAGTAGACTGACTTGTGGAATCACAGAGCCTGGGGTAGGGCGGGGCAGGCAGCCAGCACCAAGACCAGCAAAGGCGGGGGGGGGGGCTTGTGCAGATGGTCCTCAGCCCAGTTCTCACTTTGCTCCGTTAGAAATGTGAAAAAAGGAGTCAGATTTAAAACATTAAAAAAACACAAAAGAACAGCTGATCTGGTCAACAAAGGCAGATACAGGCTTTTCCTGACAATAGACAGAGGCGGCTCGTGACCGCAACAGACAGACGTGTTCACACGCACACACAGGTTGGTATGTCCCCGGAGGGCACACGGGAAGGCAGGAAGGGCAATGCAGACCCGGGAGGGTTCGGGGCTCTGGCTGGTGTGCCTGCACAGGAGCTCGGCCTAGCCCACGCACCTGCCCTCGCCCCGCTCCTCCTCAGGGAAGTGGGCCTGCTTCTTGTGCACATTCCAGTGCAGACACTGCACCAGGCTCTCAAACCAGTCGCTCATGGGGTCTTGCATGCAGATGGAGGGCAGCGGGTAGCAAGAGGTAGTGATGCTGATGCTGTCTCCATGGCGGATCTCCTGTCTCTTCCGGCTGTCAAAGGACACCCACGCTGTGTTCCGTGCTTCTGGTGACAGCATGATCTTCAGCTCCACCCCTGCAGGAACCACGATGGACCGGAAGGACAGTGAGTGGGGGCAGATGGGTGTGATCATGATGGCTGGCACGTTGGGGTGGATCATGGAGGCCCTGGCCACCACTGTATACGCCATGCTGCCAGTTGGAGTGGACATGATCACTCCGTCACCCTGCACTGTGGTGATGAGGTGTCCGTCCAGGTAGACGTCCACGTTGGACAGATATGAGGAGGGGCCTCTGTCGATCCCCACCTCATTCAGGACCTGGTACTGCATGGCCTGCTGCCTGGCCTCCACGTCCAGGCCTGCAGTGGGTGTGCTGTGGATGGGCGCCTTCCTGGCCCTGGGCTCCTTCACCACCCTGACCTTCAGCCGGCTCTGAAGGACAACAGCTGCATTCCCCTCTATCACCTGGGTAACTTGAGACTGAAAGTCCGCAAAGTTGAATGGTGTCAGGAAGCCCAGCGAGCTGAGGTGGAAGGCCATGACTGGAGGCACGCTGCCCTGGAACAGAGAGGATACATACAGCAGGGTCCCATGCCCTGCCAGGCAGATGATGAGGTCTCTCTGATTAGAAATGTCATCATAATCTTCTCAGAAAGTGCAGAATTTCTTCTTCACTGCCCCAAAGTTTTCATCACTCACGATGGCAGGGTCTTCTAGCACCTTCTTTTCCACATACACAACCATATTGCTCTCCTCCATGAGGTATGTGCAGAGCTCCTTGAACAGCTGCAGCAGGCTGGCATCACGGACCTTCTTGACCACCAGAACACTCTTTGGAGACTTACTCCATGCCAGCCGCTGGCTCGCAGTGTCCTGAATGTGCATGATGGTCTGAGGGTTCTGCAGCACTCAGGCCTTTGGGCCAAAGGTGGTCACTGGGCAGGGCCCGTGTAGAGAGCGCGTCCTCCTGAACTCCTTGGTGCTCCCCCCGGGGGGGGGGGAGCGGGGGCAAGGTGGACAGGCTGCGGGACTTGGCCCAGCCCTGGATGGGGTGGCTGTAGCTCCAAGCCTCGTCCTCATGGCATGCAGAACAGCAGTACATGGCTGAATCTGGACACATCTCTTGTTCACGGGCATTTTTTCTTGTTCCATTTCCATAGTCAGTAAATGAGAACTTCGGTCAGAAAAACACTGACGCCTGCTCTGAGCATCTGCAGCTTGGAGCTCCACGGGCAGCCTCAGTCCCAGGGAGCTGCTCCTGGGATCACCAGAGGGAGAAGAAGAAACACTCCTGCTTGCTTGGAGGAACAAACACCAGCCCGCTTGTCTGCCCTGAGTGTCCAGGAAACAGCAGCAGGGCTCCAGGGGGTGTGAGACTCCACGGCAAAGTGGAATGAAGACCCAGCTGCCTCTTCCTCGTTCGCTGCCACGGGCGCCTGGGGGGCGTCTACATGCCGGCCGACCCCGCAGGCCACGCCACTGGCCGTAGCTACTTGGCCCTCCGTGCCCCAGCTGCCCGCCACCCTATGGCAGCGCGGACTGCCAGCGGCGCCAGCGCCGCAGAGCAGCAATGTGCCACCATGGCTCAGTTGCTTTTCCATTCTTGTAATACTTTATTAAGGAAAATATCTTCAACTCCACCCAGGTTAATACGAAAGATGTAAAGTCTTTGTCTTTTTATGGCTAAATAGTATTCCATGGTACACGTGTACAACAGTTTATTCATCTACTCATGAGTTGATGGGCACTTGGGTTGATTCCACATCTTGGCGATTATGAATTGAGCTGCGATAAACATTCTAAGCAAATGTTTTTATGGTAAAATGATATTTTTTTCTGGGTAGATATCAAGAAAAAGGATTGTGGGGTCAAATGGAAGGTCTACTTTTATCTTTTTGAGGATTCTTCATACTGCCTTCCAAAGAGTCTGTATTCAATTCCGTCAACAGTATAAAAGTGTTCCCTTCTCTCCACATCCATGCCAGCATCTGTAGTTTTGGGACTTGGTGATGTGGGCTATTCTCACTGGGGTTAGGTGATATCTCAAGGTGGTTTTGATTTGCATTTATCTGAGCATTTTTTCATGTGTTTCTTGGCCATTCATCTGTCTTCTTTGGAGAAGGTTCTGTTTATGTCTCTTGCCCAGTGATAAATAGGATTGTTTGAGTTGATTAGTTTGAGTTTGTCTGTAGACTCTGGTTGTTAGCTCTTTGTCAGATTTGTAACACGCCGACATCTTTTCCCATTCTGGAAGCTGTCTGTTTGCTTTAATTGTTGTGTTCTTAGTTGTACAGATGCTTTTTAGTTTGATTAAGTCCCATTTATTTATTTTTGTTGTTGCTGCAATTGCCAACATAATCTTCCTCTTAAAGTCCTTCCCTAGGCCATTATCGTCAAGAGTTTATCCCATGCTTTCTTCAAGAATTTTTATCTTTTCTTGTCTTAGGTTTAAATCTTTTATCCATCGTGAGTCAATTTTTATTAAGTGGTGAGACGTGTGGGGTCCAGTTTCAGTCTTTTACGTGTGGTTATCCAGTTCTTCCAGCACCGTTTATTGGACAGGGATTCTTCTCCCCAGTGTATGCTTTGGTTTATCGAGTATCAGATGGAGATATGAGGCTGGTTTCATCTCCAGATTTTCTGTTGTGTTGCATGTGCTCTGATCTATGTGTGCTCTGATTTTATTGCCAGTTAAAAGGCAATCTCAGCCCTACTTGTTAAATAGCTGTGTAAAATGCTACCCGGGCACAAAGAAGGTCTGGGGCTGGAGAAGGAATGGCCACCTTGCAAATCTGCATTTCATTCTGGAGAAATGAGGACTCAGACTAGATGGGAAGTTGAATTCCAGTTTCCCCAAAGCAGAGGAAATGTTTGTGTGTGTATGTGTGCATGTGATTTATATGTTTAGTTTGTATGCCTGGCTGTACGCAGATGTGTGTCCATGCACATGTGTCTACTGTGTTTGCATGTTTGTGCACATATATGTTTTGTCTATGCATGTGCACACACGTACATGTGCATATGCTTATGTATGTTGGAGAATGCACTAGGTTGGTTGCATAATTTCAGGACATCGCATGTCATTTCCCCCCTCATTGGAGCCCTCTGAGTACTATGTCCATGTCTACACCCTTATAGTGCTTTTCTCTGGCCATGTGTATTCACCTGCTAGACTTGGGCTGGGACCTTGCCAGAGGGATCCCCCAAGCTCCCCTAAGTGGTTCCAGGCTCAGCGGGTCTCTACTAGTATCTTGAAACAGCATAATGTTCTGATTAAGGTCAAAAGAGGTTGCTTTTGTCTGTGTGCTAGGGGCAGGGAAAAGCTCAGGTGAAAACTGAACCTCAGTAAATACCTGCTGAAGATGGTGTGCTATCAGTCTAATTTCTCCTCTTGCCTTTGTAGCAGCACTGCTCTATATCACACATTGAGTTGGGTCCCCGAGCCCCCAGCCTCTCCCAGGAAATAAGCAACACCTCTGGAGCTGCTTGGGTTCCTCGGGTCCAGGAATACAGGCAGCAAAGGAGGAGCTTGCTAAATGGTTCTTTTCCGGCCAGGTCTGTTAATGTGGCTTCTAAAAGCACCTGGCTCATTTCCATTGTGCTGCTGAGCTGCTGTGAGAATCAGATGTGCCACCAGAGTCCCCTCCAGTGGGGGCTGCCTGCCAGCAGCTCAGCAGGAGGCAGCAGGACCTGAGGCCTTACTAGGGCACTCCGTGGCTGCTGCTACCTGCAGGCCCTTATGCTATCATGGCTCTTCTTCTGAGAGCTACGTGACATGCTGTCCGTACATAGGCACACGAGCAGCAAAGTCAGTTGAGGAACTGCCACAGCATGACCCAAACAACCCTTTCCCACCACGAATGTGAGCACTGAGAACTGGATGTGGAGACCCTTGGCCTGAGAGACAGCCTCAGCTCTCCGCTCCTTCCCCAGGCCTCTGGAGCACCAGTGTAGTGCTAGACCTGGTCTGGACAGCGGAAGGGAAAGAAGAACTCCTATCAGTCCTCACCTGCTGTGTACCAGCATGCCCACATGTTCTGTCACTTAATTTTTTAGCAATCTTCCAAGGCATTACACCCCCTACTACTACAGGGAGAAGTCTGAAGCAAAAGGAAGAGCAATTGCATTTGCAAGCGCCCCTGATCAGGGACTGTCAGACACGGCCTTACCACAGAGTAGAGCGTGGTCTGTGGGGCGTAACGGTTAGCTCGGGTGGAGCTGGGCCAGAACACAGTTTCCCTGGCTGAGAATCCTCACTGTTTCTTCTGCCTTCTTGCTACTCAAAAGTGTGGCCTGTGGACCAGCAGTGTCAGCATCACCTGCCAGTCTGTCAGCGCAGAATCCCCCTCTGCTTTTACCCAGACTCTGGACAGAAATGTCATGTGCACGGTAAAGTTAGGGAGGGGCTGCCCTTCATCGAGCAGCTCCCCGGAGAGAGGACCCTGAGAAGGGAAGTGAAGGCACAGTGGGATTAGCTGAGAAAACCCCCAAGAGCAGTGATTTTCAACTGCTGTGCCACAGCACACTGGTGTGCCGTGAGGGGATCTTAGGTGTGTGCTGAGAACATTTTTAAAGATCATTAATTAAATTATGTTTAAAAGTAGTTCAAAGCACAGTAAGTAAATTCTTTTTTATTACTCTTTAAAAAATCAACGTAACTTAAGTGTGTGTGGGAAGTTTAACTATAGGTTGAAGTGTGCTGTGAGATCAAAAGGGTTGGAAACACTGATGAGGGTGCGGAGCTGAGCTGCAGAGGAGCGCTGTGGGGAGAGGCAGCACTTCCTAACCAGATAGCATTGGCAGATGCCTTCCCTGCTGGGCGGAGAGGGGAAGAGGCAGCCTCAAGGTCCTTGCCTGTGCCAGGGGCAGGTGGCTCTGCAGGGGAAGGGTGTCATGAAGATGGAGGTGTGGGCACCACACATTGTTCAGACCACTGGGAGAGGTGGGATATGCAGCCAACTCAGCGTTCTTGTGGTGACACATTTGCAGCAGGGAAGCTTTTCTGAGGAGGGTCCTGAGTGTGGGACTGAGGGCTTCTTAGTTCAGTGAAGGTTCCCTGAGATCCCACCAGGTGTCCAGCTCTGTACAGGGTGGGGGATGTCAGCATCTGTGTCTGGACAACAAGGGGCGAGGAGGCCCATTGGGCCACTCTGGGCCCACATGTGTGAAGGCAGGTGTCTGTTGGTCTTGGGCAAAGGCCAGGTGACACTGAGGAAGTGAGGGAGGTACCCCTGAGAGAGGTGGGAGGCTAGGAGGTGCCAGCTGGGTGGGGGTGTGGATGTGATTTCAGCAAAGTGTAGACGGGCAGGCAGGGCTGTGGGGCCTGGCCTGGCTGTGCAGGGAGGTTTGTTCTTTCCTCCTTTGCCTGCTTTCCAAGGTGTGTTCACAGCAGACGTGTCTTTGTGCCTTTTCCTTAGCTGAGACCCGGGAGGAGGAGAGGCCAGTGTTGGAAGCATTGCCCTTCTAGTTCCATGGCTACCCTAGCAAGACAGCCCACGGGATTGCACACAGGGAGGAGGGGCTGCTGTCCCTGGAGACAGCTCTGCCTCTTGATGGCAGCAGGGGCTGTGGGTGTGGGTATGTGTGTCTCCCCGGGGGAGGGCTGAGGGAATTTCTTGGTTAGTTTGGATGTAGTTCAGGTCAGGGCATCTGAGCTGGAAAGGCCAGGAGACTGCTCTCCTCGTCCAGGTGGGAGGATACAGCCAGAATCTTGGCAGGGCCTGGCCAGTGTCACTGCAAGTCAGTGATGATTAGAACAGCCACTGTCACTCATCCCATAGCTGGAGTGCTCAAGACGGAATCCAGAATGGAGCTCCTCATCCACGTCCACCCTTGTGTCCACCGGCCCCCACTCAGACCAGGCACACACAGCCAAGCATCCTGACTCCCCACCTCTCTCCGTCCTGCACACTACCCCCTCCTCCGCATTACCGCAGCAGTCTCTTGCCCGGCCTGCTGCTTCTAGCCCTGCCTCCTCTGTGCCAGCGCCCACCTGGCCAGGATGGCCTTCGTTGTGCACAGGCTGCCCTCCTTCACACCTTTTGCTACTCTCAGTGTCAAGTCCGCCCCCACACTGGCCCCTGCTTGAACTTGGGCCTCTGGCTCCATAGGCCATGCTGGTAACTACTGTGCTCAAATAGAACCCGGCAGACTCTTCCCCATAGGTCTGTGGG